GTCCCTCCTCTGGACATGACCAAACCACTGTCCCTCCTCTGGACATGTCCAAACCATCTCAGTGTGTCCTCTCTAACTTTATCTCCCAGTTGTTCAACCTGTGCTGTACCTCTGATGATCTCATTCCTAATCTTCTCCATCCTTGTCACTCCTAAGGAGAACCTCAACATCTTCATTTCTGCCACTTCCAGTTCTGTCTCCTGTCTTTTTGTCCATATCTCTGTCTCCAGACCATACAACATAGCTGGTCTCACCACTGTCTTGTAAACTTTTCCTTTGACCTTTGCTGACAACCTATTGTCTCAAATGACTCCTGAAACATTTCTCCGTCCTGCCTGGACTCTCTTCTTCACCTCTTTACCACACTCCCTGTTTTCCTGGACAGTGGACCCCAAGTCCTTGAAGTCCTGTACCTTTGTGACCTCTGCTCCTTGTAGCCTCACTGTTCCACCTCCTCCCTCTCATTCACACACATGTACTTTGTCTTACGGCTGACTTTCATCCCTCTTCTTTCAAGTGCATACCTCCATCTCTCCAATTTCTCTTCCACCTGTTCCCTTTTCTCACCACAGATCACAATGTCATCTGCAAACATCATAGTTCACGGGGATTCCTGCCTGACCTCATCTGTTAGTCGGTCCATCACCAGAGCGAACAAAAAGGGGCTCAGAGCCGATCCTTGATGCACTCCCACCTCCACCTTGAAGCTATCTGTCACTCCTACAGCAACATAAATGCCTCCACTCGAATCTAGTGGCTAAACTAGCTGAACTTAATTATTGAACATAACTGCTGAGATCCAAATGTGATGAATTATGTAATTGAATTAGCAGAATATGATAAATAACTAGCTCTGCATTAAACAGCAGGTGATTTTGTTTGTACATTTTTATTGTTAGTAGTTAAATTATACCATAAAGAGACATCGCAGAGCGGTCATTTTCACCTGCAAACGACGTTCCTCCCTTCCCCTTTCATCCCCGGGTCATTGCCCTGCTGACTCAAAAGGAACGCATTCATTCTGACAAATGTCTCAAGTGAAAGGGACTTTAATTTCTCCCGTTGGTCAACAAGTTTTCCAACAGCAGCTGAGCGCCTCGTTGTTCACTGAACGTCGCACGCTAAAGCTAACAATAGAAATCTGTGGCAGTCTGTGTGTGAAAGGGCACGGTGTGAAGCTTTCGTTTATCTAAAATATAAACCAAAAAGTGTTAAAGCACAGAATACAAGATCAGCGTTCACCATTTAGATGTTAATCTAATCCAAAATGGAATTAAACGACCGTTTTGCAGCCGTTCAGACTACCGCCAAAACACATTTGACAGCATTTCAGTGAACATCCAGGTCTCTCAGCTGTCACTCAAAAACATTAGCCAATGAGAGCAAAGCCCTGATAAGTCCCTCCCACTTGAAACATTTAACCATTTTCATTGAAGTTGAAAAATGATGGAGTATATATTCTTTCAGAATATAAAACGTAGGGATCACGTAGCTTAGCAGCACAACAATTAGTGTATTGTTGATCAATCGCTGCATATTTTTTTACTTTATTCTGTACTTTATGAGTAGCAGCCATCTTGGATTTGTATGCCAGGGTTGGTGGAGTTGCTCAGAGTTTCCAAGTCAGGATTTTGACTTAATGGGACATTTCAGCTGAAATTTCTGGCAACACGACTTTCACAATAAAAACCCTAGAAGCAGACTGTCACAATAAAAGCCTCGGAAGCTGAAGTAACTAAGAACAAAATGAATTGTCAAATAGATATATGATAATTCTTACAACAAATTAAATGTTTTGAATTTAAATCAAATTTTTACTTCTTTTTTTTAGCTTTATTATATGTATATATTTTTTGTCTTATTTAAATTTGTTTGATTTATTTGGTAGAAGTCTACCTTCACAGGGAAGCTCCTGAATATGCATGAACTTTGTTCTGATTTAAATTTTTCTAGGCCGGCGTGCCGGCTTTAGAGTGGAGCCCACTGGAGGACGAGGGCCGCAGCGCCCCGGCTGTACTCTACACCAAAAAGGTCTGCAAACGTTTGTTTGACACATGTGAAAAAGTCAAAAATACTTTTTCTTAAAGTAAATCAAAATGAGTTTCTCATCGGTTTATTTTGTCGTGTTTAGGACGGTGATGGAGGGGAGGAGGATGCAAACTTTGACCCTGGTTACGAGCCAGACTGGGCGGTTATCAGCAACGTGAAGAAAGATTGCAGCCACGTCTCGGCGAAAGATTCGAGTGCGGTTTCAGCTTCTTCTTCTTTTTTCTGCAACTATACGGAGAAAAACATGAAGAATTAAAAGTATTTTGTCTTTTGCAGGTCAGTGGGCTTTCTCTCTGCCGCTCTCAGAGCTGTACTCTCTTCGAAGGTCCCGTTTCTCTTTGGGTCGGAACTTTTTAGTGCTGACCAGCAAAGGTGGCCACCCGCTTCCTCCTCTGCACTTCCACAGGGGGGGGACCAGGGAACTGCTGCGGGCGCTGCACCGTTACATCGTCCTGGACCAGTGAGTGTGACACACAGACGTTAGCATCAGTCGGTGTGAGTCTGCTGACGGCTGAGGTGACGCCACACGGTTTGTGTTGTCATCAGGTCACCTGTGGACGGGCGGCTCTTCCTCGCCTACCTGCGTGACCCTCATGATGTCTCGCAGCCCTTTGAGAAGTTGCAGTTCTTGGATGATGGCGGCTCTGATATCGTCACGGTAATTCTGTGAACACTGAATCATCAATCACGTAGTTGTTTTCCTGCTTTTTTAAATTTAGCCTCATTTCCCCTTTCGCTTCTGAATACCTGTATTTTTACGGCTATTTTAGCTGATCGCACACAAAAGCGTTCAGCTCATTCAGGAGATGGCTGCTATGACTGTATTTTTGTAACGCTACTGGCTCTGTTTAGTTGTATGCTAGTGTAGCCACCATTCTGCTACTTTTGACTTTTAGATATTGTTTTGGTAGTTTTAGCTTTTAGTTAGCCTTTTGGTATACTTGTCTTGTAGCTAACTATTGTCAGTCGGGTCATCTGGATAGTTTCCTTTTTTTTGTTTCTGCTGAAACGTTTTACTTTCCATCCAGAAGGCTTCATCAGTCAAGGAAACGCACAACACAAAACTGATTCTTCCCCCAACAGCTTACTCCAGAGTGGAACAAACCAGTTATGTTGGTGCTAAGATGGTCTCTTTGGCACGCCCCCTCCTCCAGTGCCTGCCCTCTTCTTTGTCGACAGTCATATCAAACTGGTTCAAAACCAACAAAGTCCATACTGTCCAGATGACCCGACTGACAATTGTTGGATTGTATACCTGGATTATTGAGTATGGACTTTGTTGTCTTGTAGCTTGTCTTCTTTTTATGGTTTTATCTAGGTCTTTGATACTTTTAACTTATAACTATCATTTTTTTTTACTTTTAGCTTTTATTTAGCCTTTTATTATGTTTATCTTTTAGCTAGCCTTTTGCTACTTTTAGCATTAGCCTTTTTCAACAGTTTTTTATTAGCTAGACTTGTGCTATTTTTAGCTTGTAGCTACTTTTCTGCAACTTTTAGCCTTTATTTTAGTAATATTAGCGTTTAGCTAGACTTTTCTTACTTTGAGTTACCTTTTTGCTATTTTTATCTTTTGGATAACCTTTTGGTACATTTAACTTATAGCTAGCCTATTAATGTTTTAGCCAGAATTTTGATATTTTAACATTTTTCAACTGTTAATTTTCAGCTAACCTTCTGCTACTTTTTACTTATAGCTACTGTTGCTACTTTTGGCTTCTATCTATTATTTTAGTACTTCTAGCATTTAGCTAGCCTTTTATACATATGTCACTTTACTAGATTTTTTTTTATTACTTTCACCTTTTAATTAGCCTTTTGCTACTTTTAGCTAGCATTTTTCTATTTCTAGCTAGCATTTTCCTCCTTTTAGCCTTTAGCTTGTGTACTGCTACTTTTATCTTTATCTTCTCAGTTTCAGCTTCTTTAGCTGTCATTTAGCCCTCGGCGTTCTTATCGCACCTTCTTAAAAAATGCAGCCTCTCCAGTTGTTCAAGATGTTAGTTAGACAGAATTGTTTGAATTCTTAAAAAAAATAAAAAATTATACATTTACATTTTATTTTCAAATTTTATTTATTTTTTTTCCTTACAAGAATAAACATCTCAAATTAAAGTTTGTGTTTTTCTGTCCTGTTTTCAGAGATTCATCCAGGACCCGTATGCCACAACTTTTGGTGGATTCTCCAAAGTCACTAATTTTTTCCGGGCAGCTCTTCGGCCTCCGGAGGCCTCCCTCTCACGGGGCGCTCAGAATCCCGGCCTGCCGTCGCAGTCTGATGACGAGCCCGGGTTCGAACTCATCACCTGCGTAAGAAAAGCCACAGAGGGGTCGATACGTGAAGCTCGAACCCCGGCTGAGCTGCTAATCCTGGTCTTTGTTTGTCCATCCAGGGCGTGGAGCTCGGGCCCCGGCCAGATGTCTCCAGGGGCAAACCTCTGGACAAATGGGAGGACTTCCTGGACCCTGAGGGCCGCGTGAAGGACCACGAGAAGATTAAGGAATTTGTGTTCAGAGGGGTATGCCATTCAAAAGAAGAGAACAGCTTTGATCTGAACCCTACTTCCTGTTTGTCTTTTATTGAGGCGTAAATGTTTTCGTGGTGTTCGTGCAGGGAATTGCTCCGACGCTGAGGAAGGAGGTGTGGAAGTTCCTCCTGGGTTTTTATCCCTGGAACAGCACTAGAAAGGAAAGAGAGCGCATCCTTCAGGTCAAAACGTGAGCGCGTTTCATTTCCGTGCACATCGGGACGGCTCGTGGAAATGCCATTTTAATGTCCATCTGTGTCCGCAGGGACGAGTACTTCAAGATGAAGGTGCAGTGGAAGTCCGTGAGTGAAGAGCAGGAGATGAGGAACTCCCTCCTCAGAGGATACAGAAGCCTGATCGGTCAGCTCAACAATCTGTCACAAAAACAAAAGCTCCTTTCATTGTTTTCAGTCAGCCGTGCAGCAGATGGTCATGTTCCTCCGTTCTGTTCTGACAGAGAGGGACGTCAACAGGACGGACAGACACAACACCTTCTTCTCTGGAAACGACAACCCAGGACTGACTCTGCTTCACGACGTGCTGATGACCTACTGCATGTACAACTTTGACCTCGGTGCGTGTTCAGAAACAGCTATGGATTTACATCGTTCAGTCCTAAAGTCGGCTTCAGAGGTTTTAAAACGGAGGATAAAAGCAGCAGATTGAAGCTGAAAAGAGGATCAGTAACGCCTCTCTCAGGTCGTCTTGATTCGGCTGAATTATCCGAATGATTCACAGCTATAGAGATTTACAACAAAATAATCTCCATAAAACTGCAGTCATACATGATGTAAGTTAGATGGGCGTAAAGTTTGTCGAAACATTCAGATGAACCAGACTCGATGTGAGCTAAACTTCTCGCATCGAGAACTTCGTCCTAAAAATCAGCTGCAGTGATGCACATGTTCAGATTTCATTTTAAAATCGAAAGAATGACCAGAAAAAAACAAATTTTCTGCAAAAATACAGAGTGAGCGCTAAATGACTGCTGAAGTTTGGATGAAGGCGTCAACGCTAAAAGAAGTTGAACACTTTTAAAGCTAAAAGAAGCAAAACAGGTGAAAATGAAAACTGAAAAATATCAAAATGATAGCAAAAAAGAGCAGAACTCTAGCTTAAAGCTAAATGTAGTCAAAGACTAGCTAAAAGCTACATGTAGCAAAATGCTAGCTACAAGAGAAAAGTAGTAAAATTATCCAAGTAGCAAAAGGCTAACTCAAAGTATATCAATGCCAGTTAAAAGCTAACAGTAGTAAAAAAAAAAATAACTTAAAACTACAAACAACAAAAGGCTGGCCAAATGCTAAACGTAGCAAATGGCTAGTTAGAAGCTAAAAGTATCATAAAAGTACAAAAACGGAGCAAGTTTGTTGAAGCAGATTTTGATGGAGATGCTGATTTTGAAGGAACTGAAGAGCAAAAAGTAAATAAAAAAATAAATTAATTAAATGTTAGCTAAATGTAAAAGCATTAAAAGGCTAGCGATAAGCTAAATGTTACAAAAGCTAGCTAAAAGCCAAAAGTAGTAGAATGGTAGGAATAGCTAAGTGTTTGCCAAAACTAAACATAGCAAATATTTAACTGAATAATAATAGTAATAAATAAAAATAATATAGTATAATAATAATAAATAAATGAAATCTAAAAGTAGCCGAATGAAAGCTAAAAGTAGCATAAGACAAACAACTTTTTAAAGATAACCGGTTTTGAATGAATTGAAAATATTTTGTATTTTTATGTGCAAATGTTTTAAGTTAAACATTTTGAAAAATATAAAAGTTATCAAAACTAAAAGTCCCCACATCATGAATGAGCTGAACCTTTTTTTTTTTTAATATAAATTATCAGCTAAAATAGCACACAGTTTGCAGAAGCAGGTAAAATGCAATAAATGAATATTAAGAAAAATAAAAAGCAGCAAAACAATTGATGCTAAATTAGCATTTGAAAAAGTATGATTTCAAATAATTAAAGTTATACTCTAACAATTAAATTACTAACTAGGGACTAAAGATTTCAGCAGGTTTTTCTGAGAACATTACATCCTCACAGCAGAACAAACAAACCCGTTTTTATTTTTTATCCAACATTCCCTCCATCATCAACCCTGAGCAGATCAAGAATTCAACGGGGACAAACAGAAATCCTTCTCTGCCTCCAGGTTACGTTCAGGGGATGAGCGACCTCCTCTCTCCCATCCTGTTCGTCACTCAGAACGAGGTGGAGTCCTTCTGGTGTCTGACTGGCTTCATGGAGCTCCTGGTCAGTAAATTAAAAAGTCTCTAACGGATGAAGCTTCGAACAAACCAAGGTCGAATATTTCTAGCCTTTTGATTTTTCAGAAGAGCTGCCGTTCGTTCAGAGGTTTTGTTTTTGTCGATTTTAAACTCAGCGGAAAGTTTGACCAGAAAATGAGGAATGAAACTTTAGATTTCAGCTTCATGTGTCATCTGTAGGTTTTATTTTGCTTTTCAAAAGATGAAAGAAACTTATTTCTAGGCGACTTAGATTATTATTATTTTTTTAAATTTATGAAATATATTTGCTAAATGCATCTTAAAGATTTTCGTCGGCAGTAAAATAAAAGTTCGAGCGACAGTACGAGGTTTATTTTTCTCTCCTTTTTGTCTTTGCAGCACCAGAACTTCGAGGAGTCTCAGGAGGCCATGAAGAAGCAACTCTTCCAGCTCAGTGTCCTGCTGAAGGCTCTGGACCCGGAGCTGTGCGACTTCCTGGGTTAGTCATCTAGAATTCACTGTCGGGCTGAAGCCGAGTAAAAAGGAACGCCTTGAGGCGAAGCTCGAGGAAACGGAAGATCAGAAACAAAAGAACCAGAAAAACTGACGTTTCTGGAAACTGCTAGTCAAACAAAGCAAAATGCTAGCTAAAAGGCTTGCCGAAAGCTAACGGTAGCAAATGGCTAACTAGAAGATAAAAGTAACACAAAAACAAAGCAAGTTTTTCAGAATATTTCATGCAGTATGATCATTTTGAAGGAACTGACGAGCAAAATGCTCACAACAAGTCCAAAAGCAACCTTTTTGTTTCTGCTCCCATTTTTCAAAGATCTAAGTCTTTTTCTACGAACACAAAAAGCCTTTTTCTTGCAACATCTGTGTCGTGCTGTGTGATAAAACTGCACATTTTAGAGTGGCCTTTTATTGTGGGCAGCGTAAGGCACACCTGTGCAATAACCATGCAGCCTAATCAGCATCTTGATGCGCTACACCTGGAGGTGGAGGGATTATCTCGGCAAAGGAGCGCCAACTAACAGACCTACACAAATCTGTGAACACTATTTGAGAAAAAGGCTTTTTGAGTACATAAAGTCTTAGATCTCGTGAAAAATAGGAGCAAGAACAAAAGTGTTGCTTTATATTTTTGTTCAGTATAAAAGTAACAAAATGCTAGCTAAAAATTAAAACGAGCTAACGCTAGCAACAGGACAACAGCGATGAAGATTAATGAAACTACTAAAACAATGACCAAAACAGTCCATGCTCAATAATCCAGGTATATAGTCCAACAATTTTCAGTCAGGTCATCTGGACAGTTTCTTTTTTTTTTTTTCCTGAAACATTTCATCTTCCATCCAGAAGGCTTCATCAGTCAAGGAAACTCGCAACACAAAACTGATTCTTCCTCCAACAGCTTATTCCAAAGTGTAACAAACCAGTTATGTTGGTGCTAAGATAGTGTCTTTGGCACGCACCCTCCTCTGGAGCCAGCCCTCTTCCACGTCGACAAGTCATGTCGAACTGGTTCAAAACCAGAACAGTCCATGCTGAATAATCCAGGTATACAACAATTTTCAATCAGGTCATCTGGACAGTTTCTTATCACAAGCAGAACTGGTTTGTTCCACTTTGGAGTAAGCTGTTTGGGGGAAGAATCAGTTTTGTGTTGTGTGTTTCCTTGACTGATGAAGCCTTCTGGATGGAAGGTGAAACGTTTCAGCAAAAAAAAAAAAAAAAGAAACTGTCCAGATGACCTGACTGAAAATTGTTGTACTAAAACAATGATTCCAGTTCTGAGGTTCACAAGTTTACCCCCTCCCTGAAGCCACAGCGGGGAGCGGAGGAGAGAACATCGTTTCATTGGTCCACTGTGACCTGTTCGGTAATTTCATGGGTCAGATTTTATTTGAACCATTTCTGCAGGTAGTCTCATGAGTCACGAGGACCCACCCCCCAAGAGTGGGCAGCTCTGTGAGCGCCCGGGTGTGACGAGGTTAAATGTTTTGGCTGCATGAAGCTCGTTAGCCCCTCAAAAAAATAAAAATACATCAATTAGCCGTTGTGTTCAAAGTCTGAAAAAAGTAGCGTCTTATAGTCGAGAAATGACGGCATTCATTGAAAAGGTCACGGGTTTTGTGTTTTGCTGTTCAGACTCTCAGGACAGCGGCTCGCTGTGCTTCTGCTTCCGCTGGCTGCTCATCTGGTTCAAGAGAGAGTTTTCCTTCGAGGACATCCTCACTTTGTGGGAGGTGAGCAGACACGACGTGTGACGGTACCCAAGAAGTCCAGCTGACGGACCGAATGTTGTTTGTGGCCGCACGTCCTCCCAGCGTCTCGTTGTCTTCCTCAGGTCCTCTGGACTCGTCTGCCGTGCGACAACTTCCACCTACTTATCGCCTGCGCCATCCTGGAGTCCCAGCGGGGGGAGCTGATCGGATCCGATCACGACTTCAACACCATCCTGAAGGTGGGGCCGGAGGACAGGTCACAGGTTAAAGCTCATCGTAAACGAACGGGTTTTCATTTTCCCCGTCCTGACTGATCCGCAGCACATTAACGAGCTGACCATGAAGCTGGACCTGCAGACGATCCTGCGCGACGCGGAGGCCATTTATCAGCAGCTGGTTTGCTGCAAGGCGAGTCTCTAAAAGATCTCCGTTTCAAAGCGTTGTCTTTCTGTAAACGCCGCCATGTAACGCTTTGCTCACCCATCACAGGACCTTCCTCTCAAAGTGCAGCAGGTTCTGGGCCTCTACGACCCGTCCAGCTCCGAGGAGAAGAGCCCAGACTCCCAGACTGGAGAGTCTGACCAGTCGGAGGCGGGAGCTGCTTCGTCACACGTCCCTGCCTGTCCTTAAATCCGAGGGACGGCTGGAGACTAAGAGCTGAAGGGAAAATATTTATGTATGAGGTATAATACTAACGCTGTTAGGAGCAGGCTGTTGTTACGTCACTCCACCTGCAGGGGGCGCTGCTGTTCCTAAGTTTACACGTTTCTCCTCCTCGCTGCTGCTGTTTGACTCTTCATTAAACGGTTATTTTTCTGAAATGGAGAGGAGTAAACTCTTATTGTTCCTGATTTTTGATGCCATTCCTCTCCTATGCAGTGTCTGAGCATGCCTTGTGGTTTTCACACAAATTTAAAGTTTTAATCCTTTAAAGTATTTGTAAAGTTAGATGGCATTTCCTGCTGCAACTTATCACCGAATAAACGTTTGAATCTAACCGAACGACAGCACGAGCGTCACGTCTATTTCACTTTTATCTGTTTTCATTTGAAGTTAACTTTTTTTTTTTTTATTGTAGAAACTGACATTTTTTTTATATAATTAGAAGTGATTCTTTAGATATTCCACTACAAATTCAAAGTTTAAAGAAAATAATTGGCGCTGACAGGATCAAATACTTTTTTGGGGTTTATTATTTAAGTACGCACCGACAGGTTTTTACAGATAATGTTCTAAAATTTTGTGTTTTTTGTAGCTGACGTCTTGGGAAATTACAGGATTTGATTAAAAAAATGTATCTACAGCCGCTTTATTTCTCATCAAAAGATAATTTCAGTTTAAAGCTCTGACTTGAGCGGGCAACAAGCATTCCTTCAAGGAATAACGAGACTTTCTGGAGTACCATATTTTCCGCTGTAAATGTCGCACCGCCCTATACGTCGCATTAGTCCAACTATGTCTAATAAAGTGGAAAAATCCATAAATATGTCGCTTCGCCGTATACGTTGCATCTATTATGCGTCGCAACCTGGAAACGTGGGCCGGTGTTGTGCCAAAAATCGACTGGCTGCCAAATGGCGGCTGCGAGAGCGTGCACGGGAGGACTTAACACTTAAAAAAAATATTTGTTTGCTTGACTTTATAGTAAAGGTGCGTCTCAGTTTAACTTTTACTTAATAAATGCACTTCAACAGTCAAATCAGCTGCATTTCACTGGGGTGGCGAAATGAAGCTGATTTGACGGTTGCTCCAGGCAGACGATGGCAAGCCAATTGTGCCATTAATAGCCACTTTTACATATTACATGACACAACAGCATGCCATACTGCTCGAGTGCCATCTAGTGGCTGAAAATGGTAGTGTTTAATATTTTCAGTCAGAATGAATGAAAATTGTCATATCTCAGCCAAAAATTGGTTTATAAATATGAGGAAAAAAAAACATAAATACGTCACTTCGGCATATAAGTCACAGGGCATGCAAATTATGAAATAAAATTGACTTATAGGGCGAAAAATACGGTAACCTGCTGTGTCCAGGTGTCGACAGATTTTATGCAGCAAAACAGAAGGTTTGAAGTGACTTTTGGTGTCTAAAAATGAAATAAAGCTCTGGTTAAGAAGTGAGTTTCTCTCGGCTGCTCCTTTCTTCAGGGGTCGCATGAAAGATTTGGCTATTGTTTCACGCCAGACTCCCTTCCTGGGCTTGAACCCACGACCTCAGGATTTCAAGCCCACGACAACGACCACCGAGCTACTGCTGTTAAATAGATTCAAATGTAACAAAAACTTTAAAGGAAAAATGTTTGATGTGAAATCTTTTGGGGATTTAAGGGTGAAATTAGTTTTTAAGAGCGCTGAGTTTGTTCAACTCTGGACCCCCCCCCCATCACACACACAAACACACACACCCCTCCCTTGGTGACCAGCAGGTGTCTGTGAGGTAAAAGAGAAAATAGGAGCTCTGTTCTCCTCTGTCCCGGGAAATGAGGTGGAAAATGAGGGGCGGGCGGCCACACCTCCTCCTCAGGACCCTCTTTTGGCTCGTCGCTCCCCCCTCCACCCCCCCGGGTTGTTTGAATACAGCTGCGGCGTATGAATTTAACAGGCTGCTTAAACAGGCCGATCTGTCAACCATCACGACCCCCCCACCCTGACCTGGGCCTGCCGGAGGAACTGGGCTCTCTGACCTTCAGTCAAAGTATTTTGTGCTCTGTCAGCGTCGAGCCGATCCTCTCTTTGAATGCTTCAGATTATCGTTGTTCAGATTATTGTTCAGATTATCGTCTTTTAGATTATCGTCATTCAGATATTTGTTGTTCAGATTATCGTCATTCAGATATTCGTCGTTCAGATTTTTGTCGTTCAGATTATCGTCGTTCAGATTATCGTCGTTCAGATATTCGTCGTTCAGATTTTTGTCGTTCAGATATTCGTCGTTCAGATTATCGTCTTTCAGATTAGCCTCGTTCAGATTTTCGTAGTTCAGATCGCCTCTGGAGTTTTAAAAAACGTGTTTAATCTGGACGTTCTGAAGAATTTTGCTCTGGAACAGTCAAACCTGCAGCCCTGATTTTAATCCCAGATTTTGGAGACTTTTTCCAATTAAAATCCAACTTTATGTGTATTTTAAAAGACTATAGTTACTGTGATGTTTGCAGAACCTTAAACTAAATTAATTAGATTATCGATAATTCAGATTTATTTTAAAGTTTCATTTGTTTTCTGTTTTAAAGTTCCTGCGCTTTTATTTTTGTAGTTAGATTAACTGGTTGATGAACTGAAGTTTGGACCAAACTGAATTATTTATAAGTGATTTTTCACAATAATTATATATTATATTTTATATAATTATGATAATTGTTTTGTATTTTATTAAATCATTTTTATTACTCACATTTGATGTGTTGCAGTTGTTTGCGTTTGATGTAAAATGCACTTTTATTTTTTCTGATTTTATTTATCATAAAAACTGTTTAGTTCTTTAGTTTTGTAATTTATTTGTGTATAATTTTTACACATTTCTAAAGGTATATTGCAGATGTCGGTAAAAACAGAATTTAATATTTTACAAATCTAAATAAAGCATTTATTCATATATCAAATATTGTGTTTTAAATTTAAACATAAAATCATCCAGATTGATTATTAAAGTCTTAATGTTCTTTTGGGCCCTCGTCCGTTCGATAATGATGAGAATTAAAATAAAACCGTTAAATAAAATAAACTTATCCTGATATTTGAACCGTTAAGATTTAATTCAAAATATCGCTTTTTTTTTTTTTAATAAAAACTTGAAAAATGTTAAATTTTTTAAAACATTTTGCACAATTTATTCTAATATTTCCACGAGGTTGTATTTTTGTTCCTAAACCAGGGGTTATCATTTATTTTTCATGTAGGGGGGGCGGGGGACGGGGGGTGCAGTTGGAGCTTTTTGTGTCAAATGTCTGAATTATTGATGCTCAGCTGAAGTTCGTTCGTCCATTTAACTCTCGTTTGAAACTCGAGCCTCTTTTCACGTCCTAAATGTGTGAAAAGCCGCCTGTAATGACCGTCAAATACAATCTGTGTCTCTGCTGGTGGCTCCAGCCCCTCTGAGGCCCCCAGGCCCCCCCAGGGACCGAGTGTGTGTGAAGTGTGTGTAGCCGGCAGCAGGCCCGTTTGTCTGACACTGATTTGTTAAAGCTCAATACGGCTCATTGACCCGCTCCACTGTCTGCTGCACACACACACACACACACACACAATCTCCCGCAGCAGATTGTCACAGGGAGCGTGTGTATCAGATCTGATCAGAACATCAGCATCTTCATATTCCTCTTTGATGTTTTATTAAAAGTTTTAATTGATCCGCCTAACCGCCTAAAGGTGAAGGTGGTGTTCTTGCGTGGAGGTGTTCTTGTCTCTGTTAGCAAAATATCTCGTGAACCACTGGACTGGTTTGAATGAAACTGTTGGAAATTAATCACTGGGTGCACGTCGACAACTGGTTTACTTCTGGAGACGACTCGAGTCAAAATGGCCGCCACAGCCAGCTGAGCCTAAAAACACAGAAATGGCGTTAACTTTGTGAGATTTGCAGATACCGAGCTAACACTTGGTGTGGTAGTCGCTGAGACTGACCCTCAACAAAGTTTCTAAGCGTAAAAGGATTGTGCAAGAATTCTGTTTAAAATTCTGCCATTACTATCTGTTGTAAATTAGGCCTGTCTGTTAGCAAAATATCCCGTGAACCACTAGAGTGATTTTACTGAAACTTTCAGAAAGTAGTCATTTTATGCGCCACAACTGATTAATTTTTGAAAACGTTAGCCATATTTTACTCTTGTTAAGCTAAAACTTTGTGTGGTAGTAGCTGAGAGTAGTTTTCTACATAAACGGCCTCGTTTGATGCTCAGTTCGTCCTTCGTGGTTTGAACTGTTTTTTTTTTAATTTGACAGCCTTGGTAAGTTTTGCATCACAGTCTGGTTTGTAACATTTCAGACTCTTAATAAAACAAAAACAAAGAAACAAATATAAATAAGATTCTTAAAAACCACAGAAAAGTCCAGATTCATGTTCGATTTGTAGGAAAGAGAAACATAAGAAAATAACATCCTGATGCTGATCAACAACACGGGTAGAAACATCTAGTTAAGTCCTCTGGATGGATGCAAAAGATAAAAAAAAATTAAAACTTGTTGAAATGTTTCGTCTTTAATCCAAAGGACTTCTTCAGTCTGAGGAGCTGCAGTAAACTCAGTCTTCTCATGGTGGATCAACCAGTTTGTTGTTGACATCCAGAACTAGCTGAGCAACATCATCAGGCCAAGACTGCGGTTTCATCTGCAGGTCAGAGGTCACTCTTTCAGGGATGAAGATGTTCACATCCTTGATAGAGAGGAACGATGGTTTGAGAGAGGAGTGAAGGAGGCCATCTTTGTGAAAAGAAGCCGTCCATCATTAAACGGGGCGGAGCCTCCGTGTTCAACTGTCCCCCTCTTACAATGCTGTTATTGCTAGTATCACTCAGCCCCCTGTGAATAGCAAGCGGCCATCAGGGCACTAACGATCAGTCGTTAGGCTGATGGTCCTCCTTTATCACGTGAACAGCTAGTTCTGGATGTCAACAACAAACTGGTTGATTCACCACGAGAAGACTGAGTTTGTTGCAGCTCCCCAGACTGAAGAAGTCCTTTGGATAGAAGACGAAACGTTTCAACAAGTTAATTTTTTAACCCATCCAGAGGACCTGACTCAACTTTGTTGGAAGAGAAAAACTTTTCCTCAGTTTGAAGCTGCAGGTTTTCAGCGTTTCTCCCTGAAACTATAAATTTTCCGTCTCTCTCTCTTTTTTTTTTTTTGCTCTGTTCGTGTTCATTTTTGATGTCGTCATTTTTGGTGCAAATGTTTCTTTTTTGCGTTGCTAAAGTGAAATAAATGTAAAAGGAAGGAGCTGAGGACGCTCCTCCTGCAGCTGACGTCCATCCTTCCGCCGTTGGACGTGTTTCCTCCTCCTCTCAGGTTGTAAACAAACACCTCCTCCTTTTGTCCTCCATTGTCAGAGTGTGGAGATGACCTTTCTGTCCTCTCCCCTCGCTGCTTCTTCTTGTCCTCCCTTCTCTCTTTCACTGTCGACAACAAGCTGTTGCCGAGTCCCAGCGGGCCCCGTCCCTCTTGTCTGCTCCTCTCCTCCCCTGCCTCCCTCTCTCCCCTTGCTCTCCGTCCCTCTCCCCACCTGTTGAGGCGATTGTTGTGCATTCTTATTGTTTTTCTATTATTTCATGCCACTCGTGAAGGTCTCTGCCCCTTTTTGTGGTGTTTTGTTTTTTCTTGTCCCTCTCGGTCACTCCCTCTCTTTTTTCTGCCTGCTGGGTATAAAACTCTGAGAAAACGGTGGGGGGTGATATTCAGCCAAGCTCTTGGACGTGTAACCCAGCAGATGGACAGAGGACAGTCTGTGTCTCTTTGGTGCGAGGAGATGGAGGAGGACCAGAGTGGAGAGCAGGAGACGAGCGAGGAGCAGGCCGGGGGCCACGGCTCGCAGCTCCGAGCGGCCTGGGACCCCACGGTGTCGGGGCACCGTGTGATCCAGAGGCTGCTGCACGTGGAGCAGAGGTACCTGCCCTCCGTTCTCTACATCACCCTGGTCCAGCGGGACCCGGGACACAGGGAGGAGCTCGCCAAGTGGGCCTTGGAGGTAAGAAGCTCCAGCGTCTCACGTTCCGTCCCTGCAGCTTTGACGCTGACGTCCTCTGTCTTCTGTGTCCTCTGCAGGTGTGCTGCGAGTGCGGCTGTGACGAGGCAGTCTTCCCCCTGTCTGTCTCTCTGATGGACAGGTTCCTGTCTGCTTCTCTGTCTCTGTCTGTCTCTCTATACTGTCTGTCTGCCGGCTGCATCCTGATCGCCTCCAAGCTCACGGAGTGTGACGTTGTCCCTGCTGATACTCTCTGTGCAGCGGCTGAGTACGGCTTCCAGCCTTCAGACCTGAGGGTGGGTTTGTGTGTCCACAGGACGACCACGCCTGGGGGGGGGGGGGGGTCTCTTCTACCTGTGGGCCCCTAAATACGAGCCTGATCCAACCCCGATTCTGAAAAAGTTGTGATTTTTCAGCAAGATGCAGTGACTCTCACAACAATCACAACTTTGGAACAAATAGTAAAACTTAGAAACTGTAAAATTTTTAAAAGGGTCATTTTGAATTTTATTTATCATTTTTGTTTTCTACAGCGAAACTTCCCTTTTTTCATTTATCAATCGTCTGTAAACGTTCAGGACCTGAGGAGAGCAGTTGTTGATGAAGTTCTCATGAAGAACCAGTTGTTCAACGTCATATGCTGATAATAATTATGCCTTTCCAGATGTGTAAGCCGTCCATGCCAGAAGCAATAATGCATCCCCATATCATCAGAGAGGCAGGCTTTTTAAACTGCACTGATACCCACAATAATATGGAGGACATGGCATGTTTAGTTTCCAAAAGGAATTTCAAATGAAGCTTCATCTGATCCCAGAACAGTTCTGGACTTCACCTCAGTCCATTTGAAACGAGCTCTGGTCCAGAGAAAACAGCAGCGGTTCTGGATGGTGTTTACATCTGGCTTCTTCTTTGCCTGATAGAGCTTTAAGCAACTTTAATGGATGAACTGTGGTTACAGACAATGATCTGTGGAAGGGTTCACGAGCCCAGAACAGAACCAGACCCAACGAGCCAGAAGATTACGACCATCCAATACTGACCTTCAGCCTCATCCTTTGAACTCACAGATTTCTACAGATTATTCTAATCTGCTGATGAAATCATGATCTGATCTCTTGAAGCCTTCTGAATTAAAAAAACAACAACATTATTCTGAAATTGTTGAACTGTTTTCAGACACAGTTTCTCACAGACTGATAAATGTCTGCCCGTTTTACTTGTGAGAGATTCAGCCTCTCCTTAAAGCTCTCTGGATACCCAGCTCTCTTATGACCTGGTGATTAATTACAAAATGCTCCTCCAGCTGTTTCTTATCCACACCACTTACTTTTGCACTTACTCTGGAACAACTCTCTTTCAGATGTGTTGCTGCCATCAACACCAACAGTACCTTGATTTTTAATAATACAACTTCTTAGTTCAACGTTTGATATGTTGACTGTGTTCCACTGTAAATAAAACATGAGTTTATGAGATTTGCCAATCATTGCATTCTGTTTTTTTTTTTTGTTTTTTTTCACATTTTCCACAAAGTCCCAACATTTTGGGAACTGTCCTTGTTTAACATGAAACACACATTAGTGATTGGAAAGCCCCAATCCTCTTTGCAGTTCTTGATTTGCTTCTTTTTATTCCACTGAACTGAATAAATATACCTTCAGCAACTTATCCTGGTCTCTCCATCAGGAAATGGAGCGTGTCATCCTCGCCACACTCCGGTGGGACACAGCAGCAGTGACCCCCCAGGACTTCCTCCCACACTTTCTGGCCTCCATGAAGGAGCGAGGAGACTCGGAGCCGGAGCTGCTGTCCACCCTGCGGCGGCACAGTGACACGCTGGCTGCCATGTGCATCTGTGACTCCCAGTTCCTGGGCACCCCACCCTCGCTTGTTGCTGCAGCATCACTGAACTGTGCACTGAGGGGCCTGGGCCACCAGGGGCCCACTCAGCTGGCTGTCATGAGTGGAACACTGGCAGAGCTATGCCAGACAGATCCGGTTCGTCTACCTGCCTACTGGCTCTAAACTGAATAAAGTCCTGTATAATGTTAAGACTTTTTGATTTTAAGGGACTTTTTAAACCTTATACTGATTCTAAATTAAAGGGAATACTTCACTCTGTAATAGAACTCTTGTTTTTATGTCTTTTTTTAAATTCCCAGGCAGTGCTGCAGTGTTACAGTGAGATGATCGAGTTTGCCCTCAGACAACGACTGCGGGGTGAGCATCATCAGGGCCCCAAGCAGCAGGACGAAGAGGTGGAAAATGAAAGGGCTGGAACACCAACTGACATGAGAGAGATTGATTTTTGAGCCATAAATCGACTGCATTGACATTTCAAATCCAACAAAATATTTTAAGTTCATCAGTCAAACTGATATAAATTTATTATGAACTTTATGTTATATGTTCCAATATGACTTTTACTGACTGACGGTTATTTATTGGTTTGCCTTATTTATTTATTTGTGGGAAATCTGTGCACCATGTGCCATACTTGATTATGTTTTGGTGTGAGTTTGTTCTTTAGGGTTTGAAGTTGTTTTGATGCACAATATTTATACATTTATTTATGATCACGTGCAATTAATTGTTACCTTTTCATTATAATTTATTAAAATTTTTCATAATGTGTTTTAAGTGAGCTGATAGACATCAAATATATATTTCAAAGTTAATAAAAATAAAAAACTTTGTACTTGTTTGTGCCTGTTTTCCCTGGAAAAAATGTTGCTTTAAATGGACAATCAGAAAACACTGCTTTCATACTATTAACTTTGTATCCTCTATTTACACTATTTTAGCATATAAAACTGTGAATTTAACTAGTTATTAATATTAAAAAATTTAAATACCTACGATTTATTGTTTTGATACTAACGTGAAGCTTGATCATGAAATGTGGTAAACACGCGCAGCATCTCTTTTTTCCCGAATGTTTTGAAGGCAGCATAGCTATAGCATTTTAGTGACGTCATCTACATTCGACGCGTAAACAGATTCGTGGATTTTACCATCTCGCGCGGTAAGAGGCATTTGCGATGATTTTTTAAAGTTTTCCAATAGATTTTAATTAATATTTTAAATATAATCATGATTATTGTCACTGAAAGCTGTGCTGAAGCGAGACGACGTGGATCTAAAACAGACTTTTCTACTCCACCGGCGGGAGCTGTAAAATTACAAGAAGCTAAATTAATGCTAACTTATTAAGGTAAAAATAAAAATTATCTAGCTACTTTATTACTCCTTTATTGTTATTACAGACACATGACACATTCGTAATGATGACTCGCGCCTAAATCAACATCCGTGTTTGTCCTAGCTTAAGCTAGCAACTAGCAATACACAAACTAGTTCAGTAAATTGAACGCCAAAAATCAAATTTTCACAGTTTTAAACTATTTTTCAAGAATATTTTTGGTTTCATTACCCAAATCTACCGCTGTTACCAAGACTGCAGTATTTTCACTCTTAAAATTGATCATTAGCAACATTTGTCATCTTAAAATTAATATTTAATCAATTAAATGTTTACTTCTTAAAGTGCTATGCTAGCTTGATTATTTTGTCCACAAGGCATTTCCTGTTGTTGTGGAAGTAAGGTTATTTTGTTTTAGAGGAGTCGAAAATATTGGTCTGGAATTAAAATGAACACACAAATCATGAAGTTATTAAACATGGCCTGTGTAATGTTGGGTAGGGATTTGAGTAAGTTATTGATTTCTAGTGGAAAGTGAAGATACAAGTGGAAATATTCTTAAATGATAATGATATGAATAAGAAATCATCTTAAATGTCCTGATGCATGCTCAATAATCCAGGTAAAATATCTAACAAGGTTAAGTCAGGGATGGGTTCTTCTTTGTGGAACAACAAAGATGAATCCATCCCTGACTTAACCTTGTTAAATCATCCTAAAGTTAAATCACAGTCAACAGTTGAACCAACAACCCAACGGCAACGTGGAACAATTCCAGTTGCATAATGTGAAAGAAATAAAATAAAACAGACTCTTGTATCATTTTTAGAAAACAGTTTATCAGTGGAGCTAATTGGTAAAATAAAAGAACTGATGTAGATTGAGAGTTGTGCAATCTGCCTTGTTTAAAAAAACAACAAAAACAAATGTCCGCTTGGATCATTTAATGTTTTTTGTGCATCTTGTGGGGAGTGGTGGCGCAGAGGTTACAAGATGGGCTTGTGATCGGAAAGTCACAGGTTCACCTCCCGGTACCGTCTACATCAAAATATGGGTGGAAAAGGTGAAACACCTCCCTCCACCCTCATTCGCCCCACTCTGGGCCCCTGAGCAAGGCCACTAACCCCCACCATCTGCTCCCTGAACAGGTCTCTCTTGAAAATGAGTTCTTGTGGCTCATTGAGACTACCTGGATAAATAAAGGCTAAATGGAAAAAAAAAAATCTTCTAACATCATCACTTGTCATACTCCACATATAACTCTGGTGTAGCGTGTCAGAAAACTGATGCCATGTCACTGATGATCACCTTACAGGACAATGATCCTGAAACTGGGCTGGCTGCTGCTCCTGTTCATCTCTGCAGCGGTGCGGTCTGTGCCCATCGATCGTAATGTAGGCAATCAGGAGCAGAAGGAGGAAACACAGGAGGAGAACATGGTGAGTCTGTGAATTGTTGCTTTGATATGAGATAAGCTGGGGGTCTCCTTGTTGTAACCTGAGCTGTATAACATACGTCTGCAGGACACGGGTCTGTACTACGACCGCTACCTCAGAGAAGTGATCGAGGTTTTGGAGACTGACCCTCACTTCAGAGAGAAACTGCAGACAGCAAACACAGAGGACATCAAGGTTAGCATCTAGATCTGTTGTTCTGCTCAGACTATATTTGAGCCCGATTTTTAACTGGTACAGGCTATAGAGAGCACATCACGCCAGTTTTGGCCTCCCTGCACTGGCTACCCATTCACCTTCGGATCCATTTCAAAATTCTCATGTATGTTTTTAAATCACTGAACAGTTCCGCCCCATCCTATCTCACTGATCTTCTGCAGCCATATGTCCCACCGCGCTCTCTGAGGTCAGCAGACCAGATGCTTCTCTCAGTCCCAGAAACCCGTCGTAAGCTCAGAGGTGACAGGGCTTTCTCTGTTGCAGGTCCACGACTGTGGAATGAGTTGCCATTGAGTGTCCGGCAGGCTCCCACACTCTCAGTCTTTAAGTCTCGCTTGAAGACCCACTTCTATTCGCTTGCCTTTAACACGGTGTGATTTGTTTTGGTCCGGTCTGTTCTCTGCTCTGTTGGCCATTTTAGTTAGCTTCTGCTGCTATTTGTATCTGTATTTCTATTTTATGTTTTCCTGTCTGCTGTGCATGTTTGGTTCTTTTGTACAGCACTTTGGTTGGCCTTGTTGCTGTTTTAAGTGCTATATAAATAAATTGGTATGGGATGGTATGGTAGACTATAGTTACTTATATACTCCGATCCACATCTTTTTATATATGTCATAAGTTTGCTTTCTTTATAACATGCATTTATTTTTTACTCTAAACTGCTGGTTGTTTTGTGTTGGCCAACAGAACGGGCGTCTCAGTAAAGAGCTGGACCTGGTCAGTCACCATGTAAGGACCCGACTGGATGAGCTGAAGCGGCAAGAAGTTTCTAGGCTCAGGATGCTGCTGAAAGCCAAACTGGACAGCACAAACACGCAGAGTGAGTCAGAAGAGTCTGCGACTAAACAGTTCTGTCTGTATTATGCTGCCCTGATGGAGCCCGCAAGAACATGAGCTTTCAGGAATGAAGGCAGCTTCACAGAACCAAAAGAGGCGTGGAGCTTCAATGCATTAAATGTGTGGCAGACGTGTCCCTCATATCGTTTTCAAAACTTCATGAATTTACTCAGTTTAGTTATTCTCTTTGGGGTTCTTTTTTTTTTTTTTTAAACCAAATGCAAAGTTGCTGTGCATCATTAATCTTGCCCTGATAAAAATTTTAAAAAATCAGTATTTTGTTTATTCCAGCGATGGAGTGGTCCCACAGTTTGTATGTTGCCACTTCATCACTTTACTGGGCTTTAAAGCCGGCCTATCTTTTCACGTGTCGCTTGTTTCGGCTCCGTTACTATCTCGATTCACGGCACAAAGGTGCATCAGTGATGAGTTGCTTCGACACCCCCCACCACCACCACCTCAGTCCAGTCAGAAATCACCCCGAGGCGTCCAGAGGGCGTCTAAATCCCAATTTTGATTGTTTTGTGAAAGAGATTAGACTGTTTTCCTTCAGGCCACTGAATAATTTTTTATTACACATTTGAAATAATTTTACGCTCTGATTTGCTGTTCTAACACAAATAGATGACCAAATACAGATTCTTGTATTTTATAAAGATTTTAACTAGCTTAATAGTTATTGTTTCTTAATGAGTGTAAGAAACAAATGAGAGGAAAGAAACAAATTTTATGCAAGTCATTTCACTTTGTCACCGTCTTGGTAGGAATCGTGGTGCGTCGTGCTTCACACCCCCTTCATGGCATCTGTTCCCTCAAACAGTGCTGCTCCGGAGGCAAAGCTGGAGTGATAATGATTTTGTTTTCTTTTGTCTGTACCGTTAAAAAAAAATTCTCACGAAACGCTCGGAAAGTAATCGTTACATCTAAAGCAAAGTGATAAAAGAGGATGATTATGGACGAGTCCTGGTGCTCCTCATTTTGCGTCAGTAACTAGAAAATAAGCATTTATACAAATAAAAACATGATTATTTGCGTAAAGAGCTGAACATATTGTTGTATTCTGTTGTTCACGTGTCTCTTGCAGGCCTTCAGATGGACCACGCCTCTCTGCTGAAGCAGTTTGAACATCTGGATCCACACAACCAAAACACCTTTGAGGCTAAAGACCTCGAGCTGCTGATTTCAACGGTACAAAACTTCAGCTGTGAAGAAATACGATCTGCGCTCGCCATTCTTCACTTTAAGGCTTCAGAGAATTCCAGTTGGACAAACCTTTGTGTCACCTGCTCCTTGTTCAGGCCACCAAGGATCTGGAAAATTATGACGCTGAGCGACATGAGGAGTTCAAGCGCTACGAGATGCTGAAGGAGCACGAGAGGCGGGAGTACCTCAAGGGTCTGGACCAGGAGAAGAGGGAGAGGGAGGAGAAAAGGCTGCTGGAGATGAAAGAGAAACACCGCCAGCACCCAAAAGTCAACGCCCCGGTCGGTGACGGTGCCTCTACGTTTATCTTTTCTTATTAATAATGTTTATATATATTTTTTTCTTAATCATTCAGGGAAGTGTTGCTCAGCTGAGGGAAGTTTGGGAGGAGACGGATGGATTAGATCCTCAGGAGTTCAACCCTAAAACTTTCTTCAAGCTGCACGGTGAGTGAGAACGCTCTCCTCTTAGTTGCTGTTTTCTTATATTTAGTTGTGATGAGTTTAGTTTGATAAAAGCTCATTTATTTTCTCTGCTTCACTTAGATACAAATGAAGATGGAGTTTTAGACGAGCAGGAGTTAGAAGCACTCTTCACTAAGGAGGTATGTCAGAGGTTTTTTTTTTTTATCTCAGACTGTTTAACTTCTTGCATGAATGATTTGTTTTATAAAACACTTGTTCTTCGTCAGCTGGAGAAGGTCTACGACCCAAAGAACGAGGAGGACGACATGATGGAGATGGAGGAAGAACGTCTGAGGATGAGGGAGCACGTCATGAACAACGTGGGTCTCGTTAATCTGTCCAGGCACATTTTCCTCACTTCTGTTTGACCGATGCCGACTTCCTGCTTGTGTCTAACAGGTGGACACAAATAAAGACCGGCTCGTCAGCCTGGAGGAGTTCCTCAAATCCACAGAGAGGAAGGAGTTCAGTAATCCCAAAGACTGGGAGGTAAAGGGCCTGAATGTTTGGGGGGTGAGGGTGGGGGGTTGTTCGGAGGTTCAGGTTAGGTTTATTTGTCATATGCAAAATCAACACAAGGTCAACAGTGCAATGAAATGCTTAGGACAAGAAGAACCATCTTGACTTGCGCCCCCCCCCCCAAAAAAAAAAAAACAAACAAACAAACAAAAAAAAAGAAATACCAAAGCATGCAGCAAAAATATTACAAAAATACTGCAAAAATGCTAAAAACACACAAAAAATACTACTAAAACACTAAAAACACACTAAAAATACTACTAGAACACAAAAAACATACTAAAAATATTACTA